GGTCCCCTCAATGACACGGGGAGACAGGAGCCATAACCACCCAAGAACATTACTATGGAACATGACAAACTATAAGAGAAAGTTCCTGAAGACATTCTTATGTGATTCTTATTTATGGCTGATGGCTCTGTTCAGTCCAGCGGTTCCATCACCTCCAGCACAACCGTGCGCGGGCCCATCATGACCAGCCTGGTGACGACACGGTAGTCAAGGTGGAGGACACAGCGGCCATTCACCTGGCTGATAAACTGCCGCACCTGAGGAAGGCCATCAACATCGGCGTTTAGGACCCCTGTCGCATCCTTAAAACACGTCTCTGTATAGGTATGTGTCCATTTATTTGTCTGTATACAGCACTGTGCAAAGGTGTTAGGCAGTCAAAGAACATGTTTATAGCTCTTTATCTGGGTATATTTTTACACAGAACGAAAAAACAATTTAACATTCGCTTCAGTTCCCTCTTGGGTCAGTTCCCCGTTTTTGGAGACAGCAACCAATTTTGCATAAAATGCTCAGGTACTCCAGACAGCCTGGGGGGAATTGTTGGTGCAAAGCATACCGTGGGGGGGGGGGTTTCAAAGGTTCATGCCAGAGGCCTGTGATTTCTTAATATGCCTATGGATGACTAGGGGAGGTTTCGAAATTAAGCTAGCACATTTTACCAGACATAATATCATAGTTTTACACCAGCATGAAGATCATTTAAGATCTGCTTAAGACTTTTGCACAGTACTATGTGTGTAGCAAATTTACTGACAGTGTTCACAGGCCCATGTGTACTTGTCTGTGTCAGCGATTCTGTATGTGGCCCAGATGTGCCAGTACCCATTTGTGTGTATCCGTCTTTCATTTTCTGTGCGCGCTCACATCTGCCCATGAGCCTTTGATTGCCCATGTGTGTGTGCGCACGAGTGTGCTTCTGCCTGCTTGTGTGGGCGCTCCCATGCGCAGTGTTACCTTCACCCCGCCGGTGGCCGCGGGCCCTCCGGGTTCCACAGCCTGGACGTAACAGGGTGGCGATCCGCGCACCACAAATCCCCAGCCCACAGCGTCGCCCACCACCTACAGATAGACACACTTGCAGTCACACACAGACGCACCGATGCTGCTACTCACTGATACTGCCACAAATCATCTTCTGTGCAGAATTCACGATGATTGAATTTTAGCGTGATGAATGATCACTAATCCCATTCCGGTACAGATGACAAATGCAAATTTTTGGTATAAAGAAAACTCATAAGACTTCACGTAAATCTGTCATTTATAATGTATTGTATACACCTTCATAATGATTTATAATGGTCAGTATAAGAATTAATAAAGCATTACAGTATTTTCTATTGACAGTCATAAGGCATTATAGTGTTGATTATAATACTTCATAAGTGCCAATGAAGCTCTTATCTATAATGCACCATAGGTACTTTATAATGCGTCATAACGGTTGGTATAAGCATTAAGGATGCTTTGTACTGCATCATGAAGGTATCTTTAGTGCATCATTTAGTGCACTTTTCCACTGCGCCAGGCACCATACTTTTGGTACTTTGAGAACCGAGACAATCTTTGCCATTTAAATCACATGAAGGCAGGTTTGTGAGAAATTTATGAACTCCTTTTATGTTTTATAAATACCTCATTATTTATTATAATGCAATCACATTGCTATATTTAAAGTGCCCATAGATGAGAGCGTCAAAAAGCATTCATAATGCATAATACACATGGCTATAATATGTTATGCCTTTTAATAAATATTTATAGCCATGTTTATAATGCTTTATGAATGCATTATAATGTGTTATGAATGTATTCATAGATTCTTATAGACATTTCTTTCATAGAAAATGTTACCATAAAACTTTCCCATCACATCCAATTGTGTGAGTTCTGTTGCCTTTTCATGACCATATACTATGTTTGTTTTAAGATGGATAGACAATTCCATCTCTGTCTTAGGGGTTAACATTCTTATAGAGACATTTTCTCAAAAATGTTCCTCATAAAGATAAGCCGAACTCTTCAATGATAGATCCAAACAAAACATAATACTGAAGCAGTGAGTGAGAGAGTAGGCTTCCCATGCACTCACATGCACTTGGGCATTGTCGCTCACCGTTAGAACCTTCCTAACAAAGGGCGCGCCAGGACACATGAGCTCCTCACGGGTTACGCTCCTCTTCAGAACTGTCAATCAAGGGCACCCAGAGAGAGAGAGAGAGTCAATCGAGACAGGAAGAGCTTCTTGCATCACGAGGAAGTGAGTCATGAGGACCATCAGTAGAACAATATGAAATGAGTGTTTATGAACTGGAGGTAGTGATTTTTATCAGAGGAGACAGGGTGGCGAGGGGGTACAGCCTGATACAATATCCCAGCATGTTTAGACCAGTGCAGTGAGCAGACACCAGTCTGTACTGGAACACTGAGCCCCCATCTGCAAGTGCAACTTCTTCAGTATGCCTTAATGAAACTCTGGTCTGAACTTGAACGTGCCAAAGCTTCTTTTTTTTTTGCCTCTCCCTTTGCTAATTCCCTGCCATGACGAAGCCTGGCACTGACCATGACAGTAAAATACAGAGGGCGCCAGCTGTGCCCAGACCTGTCCCAGTGTACACTGTTTCTCTCCCGGCAGGAGCTGCTGACCTGATTTGGGATTGCACCTGGTGAGAGGAAGGGGGAGCAGTGGGGAGGGGGGGAAATACCCATCCTGAGTCATCTGCTGCGAGGTCACTCCCCCCCGATGGACAGTAGATGTTACCCTGATCTCCTTACTGGGTTGCACTGTAGAAAGGATCACACACAAACACGCAAACAAGTCTTTTGGATTCGCACAGTATATAAGCACAAACTGTTAATAAGCAAAATACTGTGATGTGTCATGTTCTGTTGTATTTAAGTGAGTATTTGTCTTTATGTAAAAAGTATCTGTTGATGTATATGTGGAGGTGGGAGGGCGTACCAGACAAGAAGCTGGATTTCTCCTCCTCTGGAGGCGTTTTGCGCAGGACAAAGGGGCTGTCGAGGGGGTCATTCTCCGCTGGTGACGCCTCCCCTGCCCCACCCTCACTCAGCAACTCGGCAAGCCTTCGCTGTCGGCGGAAGTTGATGCAGAACCGGTAGAGCAGGGGACTGTCAAAGAAGTGATGTTTCTTCTCCACTGTGGAGGGAGAGACAGAGAGAGACAACTCAGCTGAGAGAGGGAGAGACTCGAGCTGAAAGGGTACCTGTCATTGCTCATTCCTGACGACTGAGGAATTGAAGCCCTGTTGGATGTACGGGTTGGCCACTGGGATTAGCCACATGGCATAGAGCGCCAGGGGCCGCATTCATTCAACATCGTCACGGCTACTTCTACCGCCTGCGAGGGTTGGGGGGGGGGGGGCGCTTACCGTGCTGGATGATACCATGCTCCAGCAGGGCGCGGCACAATTCTATGCCCTGACGCCGGCAGTCAGCCTCCCCGTTCTGCAGCAGCCAGTCAATCAGCTGGCATCCAGCAAAGACACGCCGGTTGACCCCGCCCTGCTCTACCTGCTGTTGCAAGATGGAGTTCTTCCCAGAGACCAGGCTATGGAAAAGTATCCACACACACACTGAGTGAGTGATCATGTTACTATAACATATACATAGACTCAAATGTTTACCAGTCATTCAGGGACCCTTAGAACAATCCTGCCCCCCCTCAACTGTATTGCACACAGTAGGAACTATACTACATGCATTTTGTATGTTGTGTAATTTGTAAAACAAATTTGCACATTAGATACCATAGGATCATATAACACACACCCTGCTGACTATCAACTGCCTGTCCAGTACAGGCCAGAAGTGAGTCCATTGCATATCCCCAGAGGCATCTAGCACAAGGCAGAGGTCCACCCTATGCAGGATGCAAATCCCTAGCCCAGCGCCTATATTCATACACTACAGACAATGTAGATACATTTCTTAATGTAATTTCATGACGTTGGACTCATGGGGAGAACATGAAAAGGTAGCTGGAGGTAAAATTTTAGTCCACAACCCTGGAGGTGGAAATCAACAGTTACCCACTGAGCCACTATGCTACCCATATCTTAATATATATTTAGCAAAAGTATTTATCCATGTGACCCTCAATAGAAATAGTGATTGGAATAATTGAAAATATATTTACAAAAAATTCAACCACAGATGACAGGGCACTTGTTTGTATTTTTGATGCTCATTACCAGGCATCATTTGGTTTAACTCTCCAATTAACGAGACGAGATGTGAATTAACCCAAAGCAGAATACTCCCTCCTCTCACTACAGGTTTGCCAAGCCACCAAGGGAATTGGAATGAGCTCTCACTGCTCATAAAGCCTTTGGCCGCGCATGAAGACCTTCATCTCCATGTTGAAGGGGAAGGTTCCGTCGTCCTTCCGGAATCGGTACAGCAGTTTGGCATCCTTAAACGTTGATTGCTTGTCACAAACTAGAAGGGAGAAGCATGACAATGATGGATAATATGTTGGAAGGGCCCCCAAAGACAGGGGAACACATCTGGAGACAGGGGATCACATCTGGAACCTGCAGCTACATACAGTACCTATAGTTTTTCTTACTCTGATTTAGTCTCAGTTTGTGACAACATGTAATGTGACAGAAAGCTTCAATGAACTCCAGTTTTCATGCTCCATTTTGTTTCATACTTATGTCATTGTCCTTTACTCTCTTTTGTGCTGTGGAGTGCTGGAGGTCAATTTATATACAAAACTGATGTGTATGAAGATGTTTCTCTTGGTATTTTGGGAATTGTGACATGTCTGGTGTAGGTTATAGTGCGCAGTGTTGGGGAAGTTACTCACAAAAGTAATCCATTACAGACAAGGTGGAAAGTTCAGATCCAGAATGTATAAACCCAGACCAAGGCTTTGTTTCAACCAACCAACTCTGTGATGGTGGCTCTTTATATAATAAAATGACTAATGCAATGAATCATTTAAATCTACTGACTTCTTTCCTGCACAATGGGAAAAAAGACAGAGTCACCATCTCATGTATGAAATGTCAATGAATTAAATGCTAAATGGGAATATGCTCCCTACTTTCTCCATTCCAGAACTTCGAGGCCTCTCTGCCATTCAGGAAGTTATACAAAACTCCAAATCAGAAGTTCACACCCTCTGACATGCTCTTGTGCTCTGTGGTGCCGGCGTTGGCACTGCGCACCGCACAACAGTCCTGCCCATGGTGCTCCAGCAGCGAACAGCACTGGTAGCTTTGAGGAGAAGTTCTCTCTGCGTGGAGGCTGCTGCTGCCACAGGTAGCACATAGACAGCCAAGGTCACAGTCTCGGAATATCTCTAGGAACGAGTCTTGATTGAAACCACCAATCCAGTCCACTCTGTTCATTTTGCTCCCTCTAATGGAAATACAGTTTGTTTCTTAAAAACATTTTGCCTGCATCTGGTAAGAACCTCACTGTTGTTACACGACCAGCTGGTTACACATCGATGACACAGCAATGTCGACAGCCAAACCTCCTACCGTGGTGCACAATGTCATGGTCCATCAGGAACTGCATTACACGTACAGCTGAGCTGCGGTCTGGCGCCTCCTTGTGGGCAATCAGCCAATCGATCAGTTCCTGTGCCACAAAGCAGTTGGGGTAGGTGCGCAGGTGATAGCGCCGATCCTTGATCAGTTTGCAGTCGTGGAGCCGCAGCCTGTGGGAAGGCGAAGCCGGGGAGTCACTGGTGTTGTGGAAGTTAACCGAGACTCGATCACATTTTAGTCGCTATTATCTCTCATTATGTTTCTGTAGACTAGAAGACTGTGAGCTGTAGTTTTTTTCCCTTTCATTTACTCAATAACAGCATATTTAGCATTTTTAGTTTTATTCACACATGCAATGCTTTCACCCAGAAAGAAAAAACATTTTATTGTGACGGCAACAATGTGGTCAAGAAAACTCTGTACAACAAAAGAAGAAAAACTCAGTTGTATTGCAATGTTTTATGAGAATGCACTTTGGTTAATCAACTACTGGCAAGACTAGTTTGACCAGGAGACTGAATCTGTATGAAAATCACAGGGTGAAAGAGAAACTCCAGAGTCAGGATAAACGCCACTCTCTCCCTCTCTCTTTCTCTCTCTATCCGTACCTGAGCTGTTCACCGGCGATCCTCACCTCGGCCTTGTGCTGGTGGGCACTGGCCTTTCTGTGGATGCTGCTTCCTGTCTTCTCCATCCCTCCAATGTGGACCTCCTCAGAGGCCTTTTATAATGGACCTATTTAGTCAATAAACAACCCCCAGGGGCTGTGTTGTGTGCACACAAACACACACATCTTTCCACAAGGGCTTATGAACATACACACACAGACACACACGTTATATGGCTGCCTAACATCTCTTTCGGAAACCAAGGGTATTAATATGAAGTTGGCAGCCCCTTTCTTGCTATTATAGTTTCTGTTCTTCCAGGAGAGCTTTCCATTAGATGCTGGAGCATTGGATTTGGTGCCATTGAGGTTGATCAGTTGGGTGATCAGGGCTCTTTCTGTGAGTTTTTGTGGCTGACTGCTTCACAACTAGACCTGCTCCCAGACATTTTGACCTTCACATTCACTGACCAGGGCAGAAATGTAGCAAACCGACTTGTTGGAAAGATGGCCGTCCTATGATGTTCCCAGGTAGAACATCACTAACCTCTTCTGTACAACCATTCATTCTGCTGCTAATGGTGATTACAGGAAATTGCATGACTGGGCTTAATTATACACCTCTGTCAGGAATGGGTGTGCCAGGCAATTCCTCTAATTACTATTGGTGTCCAGGTACTTTTGGCCATATAGTGTATGAACACACTTGTGCACTCAAAAACTAAATGGCTTATTGTTGCACGCAGATTCAAGTGTGAAAGTAGATACACAGGAGGAGCCAAACCAAGCTAAAGACATGAACATCAAGCTGTTGTGTCGACTGCTGAGGTTTTCCCATATCAGCACAGTGTACAGAGAAAGGCTCAATACAACTGAATGTTGCAGAGTGAAACAGATATTCAGTAAGTAAGACTGTACCCCAGAGGCTGAAGAGAGTGCTGGGTGTTAACCAGGAGGGAGATGGCAAGAGGGAGTGACTCTATCCTGTAAAAATGGAGGAAGAGAAGTAGATGAGGCAGATTGGGAGACAGATAAAGGAAGTTGAAAGGTGGAGGTAAGGGCAGAATCTCTGGAGGAGGTGGGGGTTCATGCTCCATGAAAACTTGCTTAACCAGTTTGAGAGATCTGAGGTTCATGACTCTCTCCTGTCCTCACTCACTCACTCACTCGCTCATTCATCTGCAGTCATTCACTTACCCCGAGTTACCCACACTCACTCACTCACTCACTCACTCATTCTCACTGTCACCTACCCTCACACATTCACTCACTCTCATTTACCGTCACTCACTCACTTATTCATCTGCAGTCACTCACTCTGTTACCTAGATTCACTCACTCACTCACTCACTCACTCACTCACATGTATCTCCTCATTTACTGATACACACACTGATTCATTACCTCATTAAAAGACAGTGAAACACTCCAGCCGTCACAAAAAACACATGGCACTTGACAGATACAGGCATACAGATTTTATTCATAAAGTGGACATTTTGACTGGCAGTTCTTCTATTCATTTTTTTTCTATAGCTTTAGGGCCATTCCTTTAGAACTGTTGTTTGAAATGACCTGAATGTAAGAACACACCTCAAACAGTATTAACACATGAACAGCAGCTGCGGTTTTATACTCACACATCAAAGATAGAAAAAGCCCTCAGAGATCTTTTGGGTTTTGGGGATAGATATTGCTCTTCAAACTTGTTTCTAGGGTGTCTTTCCCTTCAGAAACACAAAGATGGTAAAAATATTTAATTGATGTACTGATCCCTCAATAAATTAAAAATTAAATGGAAATATCCTGACACTAAAAGTGACCTTCCTTAGCTTTAGATGTAGTAAGTAATTTGTGGCTCAAATTTCTTCAGTGTCTTCGGTGTGTTTCCAATTTAAAAAAACACTGACATCCCAACAATTATAGTGTATAGCGTCAAAGAGATTTCACCCTGTTTCTCTCTACCCAAGTCTGCCATCACACCCAGGATTGAGTAATTTCGACTGTATCCAAATGATATTCTGAACTGGTTAAAAAAAACTTTGAAACTATTGCAAAAAAGAAATCAATTAGTCTGTCAAATGAATCTCAACCCCAATCCCGTCTTGGCCCAGGATCTAAGAGATGATAACATAGAGCAGGATGTTGATGCTCCAGTTAAATTTTACTGAATCATCTTCAGTACAGTCATCTTTTCTCCTGGGTAAAGGCAGAAATAGTTGTCTTTGATGAACCCTATAAAGCTCTGCTTAAGCAACAGCAGGCTCTTCTGCTGGTTTCAGCTAGTTACAGCTCACTTAAATATGATCAAAAAACACTTCTTGGTGATTCACTGCTGTGGGTGATTTATTGTTCTGGTGTGGCTAAGATAAGAGTTTCTCTCCTCTCTGTGCTTCGACTAGCACTCTACTTAGTTTTATTGCTGTCACTGCAGGATGTTCTAGCTATAGATCTCATTGGAAGGTAAATATCTGCTTCCTGTGCTCCATAATCAGACATTTAGGAAGAGAGACAGACCATCACATGGGAAGAGGAGGGTCTGAGTGATATATGTCCATGTGCAGTCTTGGATGAAACTTGAGCTATCATTTTAGCTGACCATGATCGGGAGTTTTGCTCTGTGCTGTGTCACAAAATCTTTAAGGATACAAGCAAAACATTCATAAATTTACTTCTCAAGGTGAATAGGAAGAAAAATTGATAAAAGACCTACAATCTATAGTTTGCAGTATAGAGGATCCTAGACCGTTTGGATGTAGCTATTAGTCCTAATTCCACCTCTCTCACAGGTAAGTCAAGGAGGGTGGGGACAATACTGTGATGTCACAAACCTCTTCATTGTTCTGAAACTTCTGATTGGACAAGGGGAGGAGCACTTAAGCAGTCAGTATAACCGGTTTGGACTGCCTCTGCCTATCAGACAGCTCTGACACACACGCTTGCTCAAATTCTGTCCTTTGCGCTTGGAGTCTTATCTCCTCCTGCAGCTCCACCAGCGTTCTACCACTGTATTCTGGAATTCTGAGCGTCTGCTGAAGGCTCCAGGAAAGCACACAACTAAGGTAAGCCATGGAGGGAGATGGAGATTAAAACTAATGGTGATGTTTGCAAGCTACTCAAATGAACATGAACTAAACGACAGTTTGCTCTGCGTGACATTTGATCTGTTTTAGCTCCTAAGAGTGCGAGATAGGATCATTTATCCCTGGAGATGCTTGTGTGGACTTGTCTGCCGGCATCGGTTGAGTGTGTGCCCGCTGAAGGAAGCCGGGCCAGGTGCTGTTTCTCTAGCACAGCCCAGTGCAAAAGGGAGGTTCAGGAAAAGCAATGGTAGCGTGTCTGGCCATGTTGGAAGTATGGAGACCACAAACTCAGCAGGCCAGCAGAACTGTATTTTCTATATGTCTAACTACCTTAACTGCTATGTTAACAAGACTGTACACTATTTATTTTAATGACATTTACATGTATTCGGTACCATCCAAGCCAGTTGCTCACATTCCTACTAGCTGGCTGAGTACTTCTGCACATCTATAAATAAAATCACACAGAGGGAGATGTATGGCTGCATTTCATATCCCGGTTAACAAGAGATACAAGACGGCAGGGGGAAAATCTCAGTTAGTTTCCCTCATAACACTACAGTGTAGTCATCAGATCATTCTTGACGTCTGAGAGAATATGTGAGAATGCGTATGCGCTATGGGACATATGATTCAGTACGGGAACAGGTGGTTATTAACTGCAGCTTGCAACCGCCATTGTTGATTTAGGTGTGCTTAAGGCTTGTGGAATGCAATAATCTCCATTTGCAATTTACAATCATCATTCACCTGGGGTGACCAGCTTCTCTGAGTGATTAGTCTTTCTTTCTTTCTGACTCTTTTTCTGTTGCCTTATCTCAGCTTGTACCACTTTATTACCAGATTTCTCTGACATGAACTGGTGCCAAATTGTGGTTGTTAGGAGAAATGCCTGGAATGCTCTGGTGTGGCTAGCAACTTGTGCGAAATTCGCACAACATCCAAGGGACACAAGAAGATTAACAAATGAGAGTTTTACACTTGTGGTAGAATTTGGTCTTGTACTGAATTGAATTAATCTAAAGTTTAGGTTTCAGTTGTATTACTTGGAGGTATATTTTAAAAGGCCCAATACCTCATTCTACTTGAGGAAAGAAAAAATGAAGAATGATTGCGAAAAGGGGTGTGGGGGGGGGTTTCACTGGAGCTAAGAGACCAACTATTAGATATTCCGTCGTACGATATCTTTCTTGTCAGGCCACAACAAGGCTCCTCATGCCCAACTTGTTCACAGCCTGCTCACATGTCTCATGTTTAACAATACCAGCTTTGCACCTCGTGGTAAAAAAAGCCTCTTACTCAATATCCTGCTTTCAAAAACTTGTAGACTGACTGGTATTTCTGACCCCATTCTGCCCAAGACTGGAAGTAAAGATTTGATTGGTGAACAAATCTAGCATGTCAAAGGAAGCCAAACAGTAATATAAAGCAATGAAAGCAGGTATGGCTCTTCTGGATAGGTGGGTGGTTAGGGGTTCCATTCAAACATTCTTACAACTGACAATGAACGGCCAAGCAAGCATGTTTCCCGTATTCATGTGTCCCGATCATTTCCATGTGAAAGGTATACGCGGATGGGCGTGGAAGCTCTCCCTAAAGGATTTAAACAATGTGATAATTACAGCAATAGTTATGTGTTATGTATGAATGGAGGTAAATAAATTAAACAGGCAGCCCCCAGAAGGGGATAATCATTGCTCAATGTTCAATGACAATACCCTTGAGTTGCCAGTATGCTGTAAAATTTTTGAATTAATATTTTTATCGAGATTGTTACTTCAAAAGCAGAGTATCACAGACAGAATGAATCTGATGCCAATTAACAGTAATTACAGAAAAGTGCTACAAGATGATGTGGAGATGTGACCACGTGGCCTATGTAGCTATATCACTAACTGTACCTTGCTTGTTTTGAATAATTGGTATTTACTTGTAATACTTTGGAATATTTACTTCTGGTGAACAATCTGGATTTAGAAAGGATTCCCCTGTATTCTGTCTGAAACCTGTTTTGCGTAACTTTCCACGGCCTGTCATTTTTACCGAGCTCACCTCCATGTGGCCCTTCAAGGTTAAAGGTAGTACCTTTAAGCAGGGCCCACCCTGGGTGTTCTGGTGCCTT